GCATTGTAAGAAAATATATGAAAAAAAAAAAAAAGGGATTTGAATATCTTTGGACATACAAACATTCTGATTATAACTCTTTTTCAATATTTTTTTTTCTGATTTGGAGTTATCTAAGAATATCAAGATAATCTTACGCTCTAGAAGTTCTTATAGCTATTCTATTTACAGTTAAAAAATAAATGTCTTCCTCCTAAAGATAATACAAACTGATTTCATTTATATATGTTAACTATTCTATATACTTATGTTATAATACATTAACCCTACAATCCAGGTGATATGACAGCCCTGTCATGGAAAAATCTGGGTTAAGGGCCAGGTGATGTGAACATGACATCATCAGACAAAATATCTGCGGGTTGGGTGATGAAAAAGACTCGCCACGAGTGCATAAACCTCTTAGTGTGATTAGACTCATTTGGTGCTTAGAAGGGGTTCCGCATTATTCCGATCGAGAAACGAATGGGGAATGTAATGTGTGTGACTGAAAGAGCACTGGCTCCAGGAAGGACACCATTTTTAAGCTCAGCATCATATTCCTGTGACCAATGGGACAGGTTGTATGATGGAAAAGTGAAAATTACTATAAAATAAGATATATGACACAAATAACCAAATGTTACACTTTTTTTTTCTTGCAATGAGTCATTTACTACATAGAGAGATGCTATGGACTCTATGTAAAGAAAATAATTTATTACCATTTGGATAAAGCAAATCAAAAGATATGTAAACATGGACATTGGAAAATGGCAAAAAAAGCTAAAAAAAAAAGTTTACGTTAAATAACTTTACAAAGGGGAAGCATAGTCTTGTCACCATTCACAAGTGTTTTCAAGCCAATGTGCTGCACGCCTAGGATATTGGCCACTTATGTAACCCACTGCTTGTATTTTTGGTACTGATTTACGTGTCGCAACCAGGTCCAACAGGTTAAACATTTCTTAACAGCATTGACTTATATGAGCAAACTATAAAACATTCCTTAACAGTATGGACTTACATGAGCAAACTAATACCTAAAGAACAAAAAATATAACTACATGAATAACTTGTATCACCTGGTACACTAGATTAGAATTTGACAAAAAGAAATTGACAATATCTCATATCTAATATTTAACATTTACCTGGGGAAAAAAAGGGAAAAAGAAAAGTAACATATCAAACTCAAAACCATAACATTACGATTCCCAAAGTTAAAAACAAACACACACACACGCCCACCTTGGAAATGGCTGGATTGAATCCTCGCTTGTCTTCTCATTCAACAGATTTCCGGGGAAGTCCAAATAAGCAGCTCCGGGACGTCCATAGGTAGTCGATTTGATGGCCTTTGCTACGTGGTATGGGATTGTGTCCAGTCTTGGGGGCCGGGCGGAGTATTTGCAGTACAGACGACATGCTTCCACCTTCAAAAATGCAAGAATATTTAGATAATGTAAAAGGCAGTGAGGTAGCATCAAAATATAAAACTATTTTCCCTGTCCATTTGAAGACTGTAATGTGCTGTGTCCATAATCTTAAAAAAACTGATAAATCACACCATATAACGTGGTTCACTAATTAAATTTGATGCAATACTCCATAAACATCATTCATTAAAATATTTCTTTCCTTCCTCACCTTCCTTCATTTACCTACATTTGGGTAGAAGAGATAAGGTAACCAATCTTACATCTAGACCTGAAATTTTTTCAAGATTATTTCACAAATCTACAACAGAAATCTGAAGGCAAGATACAGCCTTGTGTAGGAAACTGCTTCCTCACGGCATTAATCTACAATAATCTGTGAATCACTGAGCAAACAACATTACCACGGTTATGCTAATACTGTTGGCTGAAATTATGTGTAAATATGCTGCCCTGGAAACTGTACGCATATCATTTCCTTGGGCTGAAGGGCCAAAAATGATTAGCCTATTTTAGGATTCTTCAAAGTACAAGTCTGTGGGTCACAACAACAACAACAGCAATATAATAATAACAATAGTATAATAATAACAATAAATATGTGTATATAAATAAATAAATAAATAAATAAATAAATAAATATATATATATATATATATATATATATATATATATATATATATATATATATATATATATATATATATATATATATATATATATATATATATATATATATATATATATATACATATATATACATATATACATATACATATACACATATACATACACATACATATACACACACATACATATACATATATATATATATACACACATATATACCCACAAATATACACAAATATACACACATGCACACACACACACACACACACACACACACACACACACACACACACACACACACACACACACACACACACACACACACATCACACACACACACACACACACACACACACACACACACATGCATGCACACATACACACACTTCTTTATGAAGTGGATAAACCTAATTTGGCATTCCTCTGTTAATGTTCAGAGTATATGCACATTTATTTATACAGTGATGGCTCCAGATGTACTTAGTCATCAAGGAGTCCATTTCTAAGGCCAGCTGACTTCACCTTAAGACTATTACTTGAAAAAAAAAAAAAAAAAAAAAAAAAAAAAAAAAATGCTGTTGCTATTATCAATAATGTTATAATAACTATAATGATGATAAATATAATGAAGATGTTAATAACAAGAACAATAGCAATAGCAATCATGAGAGATTAACTAGGCCTAATATTTGATGCCTTGACTGAACACTTGTGAAGCTATATACATACAGAGAAAAAAAAAAAAAACCACAGTGGACAGTGCATTTCGCCAGTGCCTTTGGGCTTACTAAGTCCTTCTTCAGGTCTTGAGAACACAAAAAATAATATCTTAGACTACTAAATAAATGAAAATGTGAAATTACAATACTCTGATGAAACGCCATGCCAAATTATACCATTTCATTCTGGTGACAGGGGTGGTCACTAGAATGAGTCTTAGGCATGAAACAATTCTGTGCAGAATAGTACACTGGCACATTTTACTGAAAATTGTAGTAGGAATTCGTTTTGGTTTTAAACAGTAGTGAAAGAGAAAGGACAAACAATAACCCAAAACAAAACATATTACAACATATATACTATTTTTTTTACTATATTCATAAAAATTTTTTCTGGATAAAGCTTAATCACTGGCATAAAACTCTTTTTACAAGCTCTGGCTAATGCCTCCTAAAAGAACAAAATTGCAACCCCTGACCTGCGGACACTCCTGGAAGGCACCACAGCCCTCCTGGTCCTGGTCGCTTGAGCCGCCAACAACCAGAACCGGCCAGGCATTACTCTGGGCATTGGCCATCCCTCCAATGGCATGCAGAAGGCCAGGGCCTGAGACCACAAGACAAACTCCTGGACGGCCAGTTAGATATCCTGAGGGGGACAGAGAGATATAAAACAGGTACACTTTGACAAATGCAGAAGAGGAGTGAAAAATAATTTCAATTGGATAAACTGAAGGTTAGTTTTTATGAATTATGCAAAATTGATAAAAATGTAACATGAACCAAAATTACATATCCAGCTTTGAAACTATTCTATCTCCATACCAATTCTACAAAAATCAAATATTTGAGTGCATGCAATGAAACTTTTAATGCTGACATTTGTAGAATACCCTAGACCTTTTTGCAGAAAAGACATACAAAGAACATGTATGAGATATAAATGCTGACAACAGGTTTGAGGATAAGCCATCTAAAGTTAATGGTAGAATGATCTGTATCAGTTATCCATGGTTGTTCCAAGATAGATAATACTGTACAAAGAAGTATGACTTAGACATCCAAAAATCATAACTCATTTATTGTAACTATGATTTATAGAAAGTTGCTGAGATATTATAAAGGGATCAGTGTCAAGTACTACTCAAAGAGGTTTTCAAAAAGCAATGTTAATATTGCCTATGACTAAATGATTTGATGTCAGACCTTATGAATAAGCTACCAGATTGGTACTCAAATAAAAATCATGTCTCAGGAAAGGAGGTGTATATCTTTCTCTAAAATGATCCTTTTCGGAGTCTCTAGAACCCTTCATTTGTGTATTCATTCATAATTCAAGTATATTCGGCAAAAAAGGGAAAAAATGGATAAGAAAAAGAAGAAAAAAAAAAGAAAAAAATGAAAAAGCAATAATGAAAGTAAAAAGAAAAAAGAAATGAAATAAATAACTAACCAATGGCTTGTGCTGCGTAACATGCCGCTTGTTCATTGCGCATTCCAATATACTTGATTCCTGCTTGTTGTGCTGCCACTGCTACCTCGACAACAGGAATTCCAACAATCTGTAACCCAAAATATTTTAAAGATGGTGGGATGTTGAATAAAAATGTAACTGATATTTACATTCCTATTATTTGTATGTATTTTATAAACTAAGGTAAATGTTTAGTTTCTCAAGGAGGTAATGATTAAGTTATCCCTTTATAACATTCTCTGTACAACCTAGTATATCCCATTCTCTTTAAGTCCACTGTAGTAACAGTCGGCCATTACAGGGAGCCTCCGAAGCAGATTAGGTAATTATCTGCAAATATTTGTATAATCAAGTAATGTCATGTATTATTATATAACTTAAAATTGCAATATAAGTATAAAGATTGTTTGTTTGAAGAAGATGTTTTATGTTTTAGATCTCATAGATTAAGAGGAAGAAATTGTTTCATTTCAGTTTTACAAAAATAGAAGCACTATAGTAAAGAAAATGACAAATGTAGTTGTAAGAAAGGATAAAAGGAATAAACAAAGAATGAAGTGTTTCTCCTGTACAACCTGATCTACCACATATCATCATCATCATTAGGATCTAACGCTGACAGGGGTGCATAGCCGCGTCCACCTTTTGGGATCCCTCATGGCAAGCCGCCAGGCAGGGACTCGGCCCATCTCGAGCTCCTCCTGACAGGTGTGATTGATCTGCCCAAGCCACGACCTCCTAGGACGTCCCACAGGCCTC